ACGAGTGAACAGATGAGCGAAGGAACAGTGGCACCTGCCCGGGCCACTCCCCACCACTGGACAAACCACCAATGCCAGCTAAACTTTGCCCATGACACAGGACTGAAGGGTTACTCTTCCCTCTGCCGCCGCTAGAATAACGACCACGGACTAAGCGCTGGGCATCAGTGGGCTATGACTTCTGTGCTTTACCTCTGAGTGAAAAGGCTGCGGAGCACGTCTTGCCATCCTCACCTGCCTACCTGGGGCTGCACACACAATCCCCCTCTTTGTTCGGCCTCCCTGCTGAGATTGCACGCAGGAAGTAGCTGCAGACTTGCCCCTACTCTTCCTAAGTTACTGGAGGAAATGCACACTGTTCTGAAACGAGGAGGTGAAAGATCAAAACAGTGACTGCCCCGCAGAGTTTAAATGTCAGGAAAATATGAACGCGTTTGAAACCTTTCCTGGCTCTTTGTGATTCTGCCCTTTCAGACGGCCCCCCCTATTTCTAAGTTCTATTCTCTGAATCCCCGCTGCTGGAGACGTGTGGCTATAAAAAGCTCCCCGCTTTAGGACGAAGCACAGAGCCTTGGGGCACCGCCGGCACTGACGGGAACCTGTTGGCAGCCGTGGACACAGCCAGCTGTCCTCAGCCCTCCACCCTTCCCCACATCTGGAGAAGGGGTCTAATGAGGAGGTGGGAAAGGGCCTGCTGACAGAGCCCCTGCTGCAGACAAAAGGCGGCCGCATTTAGCTTCACGTGGCGGGATTTGCGACAGGACCTCGTGTGCTGTCTTTAGCCCAGGGAGTCAGGCACGGCCCGAGGAGATTTTGACAGGTGTGTGCTGCTTAGCTCCTGACATCACTCTCCAGAAATAAAAAGGCGAGTGTAAGCTCGGTCTGGCTCTGTGAGGCGGTCCCCCCGCCCACTCCCCTGCTTTGTCACATTGAGGGGAAAGACCTGGGAGGGCGCCCCGCCTTCCCAGCAGGCCTCTCTCTGCGGTGGCCACCGCTGCTCCTTGTGGGCAGGAGAACACACATACACAGTAATTGCAACCACATAATGAACGCCAAAGAAAGGGAGTCCTGAGCGAAGCAGGGCGAGTTCCTCCAGCCACCCGAGGACAGCGGAGGCTGGCAGCCCGGGAGTCCCACTGTGGAGGTGCGAAGGTTACGGCACCTACCACCATGGTCAGGACGTCTGGGAACTGGTTTCTGGCCGAGAAGTGCCCCCTTATTAATGACTGAGGACCCTCCTGGACCACGGCACTGTCCTCTCCCAGCGCGCTTCCCCTCCTGCTTCGGGCTGAGCTCTTCTGGGTGATGCTGACAGCGAGCCCCGCCCCCGCCTGGTCCATTTGGCGGGGTGGAGGCAGGCAGCAGGCAGCGGTCGGGCAGGGCATGTTTACCACCCGGCTTTCACACAGTGCCTTCCCAGGGAACGCTACAAGTCACATCAAGCAGGACATCCGAAATGTAAGTGGGTGGACAAGGAAAACATAGAATTCTGAGAAAAAGCTGACACTGAGAAGCGGAGTTTAGAAGTGTCGCCACCTAATCCTTCTCTTTTGGTTGCCTGAGTCTGAAACGCTGAACATCGTCCCATAAGACGCACCAGGCCTTTGGGATCTGCAACGGACAAGGAGGCTTCGCTCTGCTTCAAGCACGGCCCGAAGGCCTGCCCTGTGAGCACCAACACGCCGAGGCTGGCACAATGACACGAGCACAGAGCAGCCACGCCTCACCATTCCACACTGCAGTTCCCGCCCTCGCTGCCAAGGGCTTCCCCAAGCACACTCACACGAAATAGACTTTAAAAAACAGAGTCCCGAGCCCCTTCCATGAGACGGTAATTAGTTGAAAGCTTTATTGATAAAGGATTAAGCTGAACTCTGTACTACATTATTTTCCAATATATTCCTTAACTTGACAGCAAATAGACAATGTTTTAGAAGGGAGGAGAGTTGGCTCTTCAATCCACTAATTCTTACCTGCCTCTATCTGCCTTTAGTTCTAATCAGAAGGTACTAATCACCTGTCGCCAAATTGTGGGTCATTCATCTAGGACAGGTCAGTATCAGAGGTCACGTCCATTCGGTTACAAACAGGTGAAGGCAGGGGTGATAAAGGGACCTCAGAAAGGGGTCTGCACAGATACAGACAACACGCCATTCACCCATCCCTACAAATTCATCTATTTTTACTGCTTCTAACATGTTACATAAACTACATACAAGGAATTGGCAGGTGCTCCCAATCTTTCCAACTAGGCTAATATCAGACTGTAAACACTGCCTCAGTGTGTGTTTGTGGGTTAGACAAATACAAAGAGTGCTCGGCGCGTTATTTTTAGGGGAGGGAGGATAAAAATACAGCACCATCTCTCCACATCTATGCTTCACCAAGTCTGTGTTTCACACATTTTACAACTTCCTAATAAACACTCTGCTCACATTCAAAGGCTTAATACTACACAGAACATTAAAATACACATGCAAAGGGGAGCACGTGGAGCCCCTCCGTCCTAACGGGCATCTGAATGGAAACTGCTCACGGTTAGGCCACCAGCTTATGTGTCCGCAATGGTCCCGGCCCCTGACGTCACCGTCCACCTTTCGTACAGAGCACACCAGGATAAACCAGGATAACAAAGAACCCAAAAGCTGTCTTAATGTTCCTCACTATGACAGAGAAACAAAATGCAGGCAATAACCAGCACTCTTTCTCCTTAGAATGTTCCAGACCGGCTGCTGGGGGGAACTGACAAAAGCAGGCGGAGACTTCATGCATGCTGAACAAGTAAAAGCCTCAGGTGTGGTCACTCAGCTGAGCACCTAAGGTAAGAACGCAGCTGCCCACACGGGAGCCCACACACAACCAGGCTCCAGCCGGGGGCCCCTTTCTCCCTTACGCTTCTAGGGAGCTCCGCGGGGCAGAGCAGTGTTAGGGGAGTCAGGACCATGATTTTCTTTTTAAAATAAACTTTTAATTTTGGGTTAACTTTGGATTTACAGAAAAGCTGCAAAGATAGCACGCACAGTTCCCATAGGCCCCTCACCCAGTTCCCCCGCTGGTAATGTCTTCCATTTCCTGGTACATTCGTCACAAGTAAGAAACCAATATTGGTAACTTACTATTGTTAGCTAACCCCAGAGCTTATCTGGCGCTCGCCAGTTGTTCCAGGAACCTCCTCCTTCTGTTCTGGGATCCCATCCCGGGGGGCAGCCTGCGTTTAGCTGTGACAGGTCAGGACACCCGAGTGTGCTCACAGGCTGCCTGGAGGTGGAGGAGGTGCTGAGCCTCAGCTATCCCGCCCGCAGCATCTGTGGCTCGCGTAGCCTTCCCCAGAGGCCCGGGAGCAACGGGAACCTGTACGCAGAACACCGTTAGAGGCTGGTCCGCTACGCGCCTCTGACACAAAAGCCTTATGCTCGGTGCTTTTTGGGGTGACGAATCTGTTTTGGAACTAGATAGAGGTGGTGGCCCCACAACTCTGTGAAGGTACAAAAAGCCACGGGGCTGTTCACTCTCAAGTGGTTCATGTTATGTTACGTTACGGGAATTTCACCTCGAGTAAAGCAAGGCCCTGCGCTCTCTAAGCTACGCGGCGTGCCCTGGACACAACTATTACTTAAGTGGAAATAACATGGGCTGAGCTTTCAAAATCATGTCCGCCCTCCACATCCAAGCCTTTAATGCCTTCGAATTGAAATGAGACTAAAATCCAAACTCCGTACCAGGACCTAGAAGGGCCTGGCTGCCCCCGCTCTGCCTCGCACCTCCTGGCCCCTGCAGGCTCCCATCCCATGGCTCCCAGCAGGGCCCAGAGCGTGCTTCTCAGCAGCAGGTTCCTGCTCTGTTGACTGGGAATCTGTTCCCACGGCTTTTCGAAGGGTTGGCTCCTTCTCATGCTTCCTGTCTAAGTCGGGTTAGACTTTTCCCCAAAAGGCCTCCTGTGAGCACCCCAATGTGAGGAGGCCTTTCACACCCCCGATCGCAGCCCCCTAGTGACACCTGGAGTTACCTTACTGAATTCGCTTCCTGGTCTGCTTTGTTTTCCCCTGTACTCCGAGCAGCTAGCCAGTGCCTGGCACAGGGGCTCAATAAACAATTGTTGTTGAACTTGATGAGGCCGTGAATGAAATGACAACCAACTCTATTATTTGCACCGCTGGATGAAAGCAGAGACAGAGGGTGTAGGAAAAGAGAAGGGAGTGGCTGGGGCCCTGCAGGGGAGGGGACCGCCTGAGTCCTGGGGGGGGGCGGGGCGGGGTGTCAGTTAGGGGGAGGGGACGGCCTGAGTGTTGGGGGGGAAGGGGGGGACGACCCTCAGAAGCCCCAGGTGTAGAGCTGGCTCATGGACAGGCCCTCCACCATCAGGAGCCAGGAAACAGATTTGCTCCAGCCACAGTGCATGTGTTCCTTACATTTCTGAAACAGTATTTCCTGAGGAATCCTACTATCTGAAAAGGATGTCAGCAGAGCGTAAAGTGGGGGTGGGGTAAGGTGGGGTGAGGGTGGGGCCAGCCTGCCCACCCCTACGCATCTGTGTACAGGACAGGGGCTCTGAGAAGCTGAATATAAAAACTGTGGGTTGAGCTTAGGACAACTCAAAAGCCTTTTTTTAAAAAGTGTAATTTACACATACAAAATTTGTCCTTAGTAGTATATAGTTCCATGAGTTTTGAAAAATACAGAGTTGTGAAATCACCACAATTAAGATATAGAATATTTCCGTCACTCAAACACGTTCCCTCGTGACCCTTCCTTGTGACCCTCTGGGGACAATCTCCCATCCTCACTCCCAGTCCCTGGTCACCACTGATCTGATTTCTCTCCCTTAGGTTTTGTCTTTTCCAGAAAGTCACACAAATGGAATCATACAATGAGTAGCCTTTTGTGTCTGGCTTTTCACACTTCTTAAAAAGTGTAAAAGACTTTTAAGACCAATGTTTATTCCACAAAGCATTCATATTTCCCATAATGCCCTTGAGTAAGAAGCAAAAAGTAAAACTTACCTTCTGGAATACTTGATAGTTAGATTTGGACCATATATCAAGCTGAGGGAAAAAGAGATGAAAGTATCATTAGCATCCATTTTAGAATTTTGGACTTCAAAAAATGATATTGTAACTACTGTTATTAAGCTTGGGAAAAAACCCTGATTATAACAGAATCCTGCGGTTGCAAGGATCTTAAATACCCTGCTTGAACTCCCTCTTCATCAGCCTGCTGGGGATTCACGGAGGCCAAATGAAGAGACATGCGGGAGGCAAGGCGAGGCACTCGCTGCGCCTAGGCCCGTGAGCTGAGCCCCCTGCTCGCTGCTCTGACCTTGACTCCTGCCATGGTCAATTCCGTCTCAGGAAACCCTCCCATGGCTCCTCCTCCTCTAGCTCAGATGTCACCTTATCAGAGAAGCATTTCCCAGTCACTCTGCCTACAATATTAGTCCCACACCTGTTGTCTGGGGTCTCTTTATTCTTTTAAACATTTTAAATTTTTCATAGCATTTAAAACTGCCTGAAACTTTCTTTGTTTACGCTGTACTGGTACAGGACCTAGCATGTCACAGGCATTGGGACGTCTTTGCTGAGGGGAGGGGAACCAGCTGCCGCCAGCCGGTGAGGCCTGTGACCTGCCAGGCACCGCTCTGGGACCCCCATGTGCACTGTCCCGCGTAACCCCCAGGACAAGCCAGGACGGCTGGTCGCATGAGCAACCTGGTCTGCCCCACGATGGGACAACGGTTCAGAGCCCTCAGCTGCCCACGGCCATCTGGAGAGGCTTCTTAAGGCTGGTCTCGCCCGACGGTGCTCAAACTTGGCTGGCATCGGAAGTCCCTGGGGCACTTTGTTGGGTTTTCATGAATAGATTCCCTGGTCCCTCCCTAGGAGTGTCTGAATTAGTAGGTTTGCAGTGGGCCCGAGAAGCTGTTCATTTGTTTGTTTTAGTGGTCAGCCAAGGTCACTGCGCTGGCTGGGCGGGGCAGGAGCCCTTGACCTAGAGCACCCCTACTTTACCAGCGAGGACACCCCAGGTTCGAGATGAAACGTGGGTAGGGCTCGGAGTAAATGCAGTGGTACGGTCTCACCAAAACCACTTTGGTTTTATAGCTTTGCATGATAAATCAAATCAATGCCTGTCACTACTTCAAGAACAAATTAAGTATGGCAAAAACAGAATTGCCCCCAGTACAGTGCTGGGAGAGAGCTCAAGGATAGTGCAGATTAAAAGAGGGGCCGTCAATATGTCCCATAGTGCTAAAAAGTCACCTTTAATATATGACTTCAAGAGCTGAGCAAATTGAAGTGCCTGGTCAGTGGGCCTTGTGGAACCTGCCTCGGGGTGGCCAGTGGGCGGGGACTGAGACGGGCTACTGAAGCCTGTACCTGGGGGTGCTGATTTGGGAACTCTTGGGAGCAGGAAAGGCAATCAGATGGGAAGATTTCTCTAGGAAGAGAGGAAGTGAAGCGCTGTATTTGAAACTTGGGGAAAACACCAAAACCTGGTTTTTTGAAAACAGTCCCTGGAAATTAAAAGTTGGGCTGTGGGCCGGCCGAGTGGCGTGATGGTTAAGAACTGGCTTGGGATGCCAGAGGGCCCCGGTTCGGATCCCACATATGAGGGCCAGTGACACTGCCCTCCACAGCTAAGATGCTGAACAACAGCTCAACCTGGAGCTGGGCTGCCCTGAGTCGCCGGCGACAGTGTAGGCTGCAGCCCCTGCTGCAGTGGGTTGCCATGGGCTACCGTGTGTAGCCAGCAGCCAGCGTGAGCGGCCAGCAGCCACCATGAGCAGCCGTCCAGAAGCCAGAGACTGATGTGCCTCGCCCGGGAAGAGCGCAATGATGGTGCCAACTTGGGCCAGTGAAGCAACGTCCTCCACAACTAGACTGAAGAACAAAAGGACAGCAACTTGTCTGTTCCCCTTCCCCCAATTCCCCAGCACTGTTCCCTTCCCCCCAATACCCCAATAAAAATCTTAAAAAAAAAAAAGTTGGGCTGTGAACAGACATCGGGTTCTCCCCGCCTGCTTCCTGTCCACAGTCAGTTTTATGTAAATGTCCCCGTGTCTGAGAACCTTTAGGACAGTAAAGGAGGTTAAGATGATTCTAAGGACAGCTGCTGGCTTCTGCGGGAGAGCGCGGAGGGTTAGCTAATCCAAGCCCAGGAAATACACGGAAGACTTTGACGGACTGAACGTTCAAACCTGTCTGCCTTTCCCTGCCCCATGGCTGGTCCCATCTCCTCCCTGGCCCACTAAGTGGCCCCCTACCCCCTTCTATTCTGGCTAAACTGCTCTCCAGAAAGATGGTATCAGTTTTCTGCCCCATGGCCCTACTTAAACCAATTGACAAGGTAAGAATTTAAAAAATCTTTAGGAGTGAACATTTTAATTTGACAGGTTAGCAGTCTGCAGGGGGAGAAGTGCCATGTTGCCTCCCAACAAGTCTGAAGGGAAGCTCAGAAGAAACAGGACACGGGTCCCCGCCATGATCAATTCTGCGAAGAGCAGACTTGTTGGGCAGCTGGCTGGTCACGTCTGGGAAGGTAAGTCAGGATCAGACTTGGTCTCAGTGCGGCAGGTTAGCCCAGGGCTAAGAAAATGAAGCATTTAAAGACTATTCCGAGATTGCAGAATGAATGAGAATGACGCTTTGTACCTTTTAGTTCTACCAAATCACTGCCAAGATGACAGGAAGATGACAAAGCTTCTAAATTTTAGGGAGAGTAACATCCTTGTCTGAACCTGGAGCTAATAGAATTCTCCTGCTGTTTTTTGAGGCTACAGCTGTTTCTTTGGAAGGGTTCCACTGTTCATCCTTCCTGCCCGTTCACATCATACAGAGGCAGACCAAGGTATAAACACAGGACAGGAAAGCAGAGAAAGGAGGAATCGGCATACAGGCTGATAAGCTATTGTTTTTATTTAAAAGATAACATTATTTTTAAGAACTTTCAGTGCTGCAAATGTTTTACTAGAAAAATCACCTAGAGAGAAATGTGCCTAGGTTTAAATAAGGGGTGGGCTCCCCAGCCTAAGTACGGCTTCTCAAAACACACCCTGCTTATGTAAACTGAGCACGTTGCTGTTTTGGAGAGGCGGTTTCCATCTATTATTCAGGACCCTAGGGAACAGCCCCGACCATCGACCATCGGGGACAGAGGGACCTTGGACAGTGCGCCCCATTTACCAGGTACACATGGGCAGGGAAGGGGGCCGATAACAATGGGTTCCCCTTTTGCTGCAAAGGCACAGCAGACGGTTTGTACTTGATTTTCTGCTAGATTTATGCCAAAGAAAGGCACGTAAGCGAGCATCGTGGAGTCGGTGCCCTGCCTCTCCTCAGGGCCAGGAAGACTTCGGAAATTCATTTCCGGGAGCTGGAGTGACCCAGGTGAATATTCATTAGTTTCAGCTTATTTGCTGCACCCGGTGGCATGGCTACCAATTTTTTTGCTGGCTGTGATATTATACAAAGAAGCATTCTGGAAGCTGCAAACTCTCAGCCTGATGAACGAGAAATTATTCCGAACTATAGTGTCAGGAAAAAGAAAGTAAAGCACCCCTCAGTATTCTGGGCATTGGAAAGATCTTAAAAGGGAAAAGCCGACCTTATGGTAACTGGTGGCAGAGCCTGTAGTGTTGGCAGCGGTTGCTGCCACCCTGGGGACTGGAATGAGCATTTTCTGGGTGGGAATGAGGACTATTCTCAGGTGAAATAAAAACAAATCCCACAGATGACAACTGCTTTAGCACAGACACACCTGCTCCCGGGCCACCATCAGGACGGCAACGGAAGAACTAGCGAAAACAGACAATGGCGTTTACTCACTGACAAGAACAATCAGAATGACCCAGCGTCAGTAGGCCAGGGAATTCTAACCACCAGGAAGACCTCCGCTGCTGTGCCCAGCAGGGCTGACGCCTCTGCTGATCACTGTGCATTAGGCCTGCACGGTATTCACATTATCTTTTTAAATCCTCCCAGCAATCGCATGAGGAAGGTAAGATTATTGCCAGTTCACAGATGAGGAAACTGAGACTCAGAGAGTAAAGCAATTCACCCAACATCACAGAGCTAATGTGTGGAGGGGAATTTGAACCCAAGTCTGTCTCCAGAGCCCCAGCTCTTAACCTGGAGCAAGGCTGCCTGCCTTTCAGCTGGAATTCAGATGGAGTCTTTGGGGCCCCCTCCCAAGCTGTCACAGCTCTTTGGGGAGCACTGTTGCAAAGTTCCACATGACAAATCGGCTTTGAGGCCTGCAGATGTGACAATCATCACCACGAAAATCCTGTTAGCAGCACGTGAACATTTTGGCAGCTTATCAGCAAGTTACCAATTCTTCATTTCAAAAAATAGTACAACGAACTCTAAGTGATCTAAAATTGACACTTCCAAATCAAACCTATAAGCCTCGCAGCGACTTCTGCTTTTAAAGCTTTTATTTATTCGTAGCTTCATCTGGCAACGTCAACAGGTGAGGCGTCGGGCGGGGTAGAATGCTACCAACCAGCAGTGGTGATTGATGGGTTTCTCCATGGTTACTCAGGTTTTCAGAGCCATAAACTTCTGTTTGGTCATCTTCCCAGGCCCGCCCACCCTCCATGAGGGGAGTAAACAGGTCCTACCTACCCAAGAAGGCAGCGTTATGGGTCTGTTCTTCTTCAACTTTTCACTTTCCATCAGGACATACATATGTTACCAAAAAACTGCTGCAAGTACAATTTCAGGGCATCCTCTGCCTGTGAATTAGACTGGATTCCCCTTCCTCAAGCGCGCCCTTCCCCCAAAAGTAACGAGAGGCCATTTTTCTGAAGGTCGTCTGAACAATTTCAAAGGCTATAACAAATCAAAATGTTCCCTGCATCTAATATCAAACGGGGCTGATGCCAACACTTATTAGAGAAATCAGATTCAAGCTTCCCCCAGCCCCCTCGACCCAAACACACACACACACACCCAACTTTGAAGTGGGAAGAATGCTGGGATCCGAAATTACCCTGGAGACAGCACTGGCTGTCTTTGAAGGTTCCCTTTGATACCACCATTTCTTTTCCTCTCTTCCGCTAGGAGGCTAAAAGCAGCTTTTTTTTTTATTGATATGGGGTAATTAATGAAGCTATAGCATTAACATAACCTAAATCCCCTAACAAGGCAAATTCAGCTGAGACACTTACACTTCTTCGGTTAGGTCTGACCGTGTGAAACCAGGACAATGGCCAGGTCTGCGGCTCCGGTCCGCCTTGTCGCATGCTGAGTCGCATGCTGAGTCACGGCTCTCCGCTCCTCCCTGATTACAATGAGTACCAGGTCGGGAAGTCTTAAAAGCATTTTTATATTTGAGAGGAATTAGTCTACTGGGGCTTGGCATCAACAATATGCACTACAGGTAGAGACAGGCCGGCTGGGGTAGCGGTGGTGGTTGTTACTGCAAAGTGAATGCCTTGCTGGGGTTCTGATGGGGGGAAACCCTGCCAGGTCTGGGAACCGGGGGTGGGGGAGTGCTGGGCACTGCTGCAGACCAGGGATCACTGAGCCTTTGAGAAGGTGCTGGTTGCTTTGGGTTTGGGAGACACAGACCCCTGTAAACCCACGAGAGGCTTTCCAAGCCACATCCACCGTGTCAGTGGCTGTGCTTCCGAGGCTGCAGCAAAACACCGCCAGGCAACCACCAGGCCCCAGCTCAGCAGATGCGGGGCTGCTTCTAGGGAACACACAGCAGCTGCGAGCAACAAGCTGTCTCGCAGACCATACCTTCAGGCCAGTGGCTCCTTCCAAATGGAGCATGTTTTGTGGGACGAGCCAGACATTGCAACACATTAACTGCACTAATGCCTGTGTGTATGTAAATCTACAGAAGCTGACACACCGGCATCAGTACTCGAAATAGAACGCTAATAACGGCCACACGGCTTTACTTTTACCGTTTGGAAAGTGCTCTGAAAAAAGAGAAGGAGCTAATCAAACTGGCCAGGATTAGATTCTGGGCAGAGGAGCTGCCCAGAGAGCTGCTCTGCCAAATGTGGTTAATGCACTTTTCACATAACAAGCGGACTCAGTCCTTCGGTCTTGCTGTTCGGGTGTGAAAGCTCCCGCTTCCCGCTTGGACTATGCGTGCAGCTGTAAGACGGTGCCAGGGGTCTCCTGCACCACACCGGCGACGTGAATCACGGTGGAGTTCAGGTTCCCAGACACACACTCATTTTCCTTCTGATGAAGGGAGAGCCCACGCTCCTCTCTCATTAGGAAAACATGCGCCGTGTGCGCATGTGTGAGTGTCTCCTTTATTCTCTGATTTATTTACGACTTCACTCCCTGCTGCTGCTTCTACTAGCGCCCATCTCTGATTTTTGATTCTTCACTCTTCCATTCCAGCTGAAGCACTTTCACACCCCAGGCAGGCTTTTTCATTATCCCCTCCCACACATTACGGGCCTGTGTTCCAGGCACTGAAGTCTAGCCTTGGGAGACAGCCATGGGATTGAGCCTGGGCCTCAGGAGCGCCTGGCAGATGCAGGCTTGAAGTCTGGCTCAGTGAGACTTGGGCGAGTCACTTGACTGTTCAAGGTCTCAGTTTCCTTACCTGGGAAATGAGTCTAGGACTCAATCACAAGCCTACCGGACTACCAGATGGGACACTGTTAGCATTTTTATTAAGTGCAAGATAGGCACGTAAAAAAATAGCCACGACGTACTAATTCTGGTTAGAGAAAAAGATTGTTAAAAATGCAATGGATGTACTAATGATGCTGATCATTTGTGCCGCGAGCATTGTCAAACCCAGGCGTGCCACCTGCGGAGCCTGTGCTCATGTAAGGGGGCAGAATGCGAGGGAGATGGCATTCAGCCCGTGTGGATGGAAGAGGAAAAGTCTGTCAGGTGGATGAGGAGGGGGTGGCCCCGAGGCGAAGGGCGCACAGGGTGCACATGTGTGAGAGTTTGGCATGTCCTGGGAGCCCCACGTGGCGCGAAGGGCGGGACAGGAGGACGAAATGTGCTTAGCAAACGGTGGCTGATGAGGTCAGGAAGAGCGGGCCAGATCACTAGATGTCCGGCTTGGGAGTTTGGATTTTACTCTATCAGCCAGAGCTTTCAGGAGTGTGTTCTGTCAAATGCCAGTGTCATAACATGCTCGAAGAATAAATGAAGACAAAGAAATCTGGTGGTCAAGTGAGTTAGGAAAATACTGCATAGTATTATATATACCCCTCTCAGGAGACTCAGAAGGTGCACGAGCGAAGGAAAGTCTGAGATTTCTACAGTCAGGAAACCTACTGAAACCTCCAACCCAGGATTTCACAAACTTTTTGGACTGTGGAATGCTTTGTGCCTAACATCTATTAATACCCTCCTTTCCTGCTTTGAGGGGGGGGGCTGCTTTGGGCAATGGGAAGAGAGCAAAACGCAAGGAATCATACGTGTGGACGTGTACGTTAGGAAGACAGCTCTGGAAGCCAAGCGACGGGCAGACTGTGGAGGAAGTAAGACTGCAGACAAAAGCGAGAAGGCCGGAGCAGTGCTTCGGCTGAGAGATAATGAGAACCCAACGGGAGTGGAGACGGACAGGAGGGGGCCGATTTGAGATGTTTAAGGGGGGAGGATCACCGGAACCCGCCGACAGACTGGATATGGGGAAGACGGGAGGGAAGGTCTGCACAATCAGGCGGTGGCACAATTAACCCAGACAGGGAACAGCGTAAGGAAGCTGAGTTTAGGAAGGGAGGTGACGAGGTTAGTTTTGGACAGGCTGAATTTGAGTACATCTGGGGAGGCGCAGTCTAATGTAAGAACAAATCAGGAGGGAGCTGTGTGGATGGCATGTGAAACTGAAGGGGTGGATGAGAACCGCCGAGGGGCAGAGCAAAGGGAGACAAGAATGCCTGGGAATCTGGGAGTAGGGAAGGAACTACCTAGAGCAGCTGAGGAGGAGTAATGAGAGAGAGATGCTACAGGTATGCCCGCGAGCCTACTTTTTAATAAAAAACACTAGTTATCATTTATGAGGTGGCAGAGTGCTAAGGGCTTTATATATATTATTTTGGACACTTTCAGTATGGGGCGGTTACTGTAACATTCAAGATCTCAGGCAGAGTAGGTAAAATCTCTACTCCGCATAATCTAAACTCAGGGCATGCATCATTTGCATCCTGAATTTGGTGTCTTTTGTAGCATGGTCGTTATTATTACCTAACTTTTTATGTATTTATTCTTTATCTCCCCATTTCACTTGCAAGTCCTCTGAAGGGCAATGGCTGTTTCCCACCAGGTGTGACCGTGAAGCTGTAAACCTTGAACAAAAGCCGTGAGAACCACGTCCCTAAGTGACCACTGACCGGGGGCCCTTGGCCTGGGAACCCCCTTCCCCAGCACGGCTCTGCAGCTGCCTCGCAGTTTAGAATTTCTTGGTTAGAACAGCCATCAGAGTTCAGAAACCACACACACAACAGATGACGCCTGCCCCGATGATCTATTTTCCTCTCCACACTTGCTAGGAAGACATTCAGGTTTCCCCAAAAGGAAAAGTCTCCTCTAAAGGAATACTCTGCTGCCACTGGGAGGTGTATGGGAACTTGGCAGAACACCTGGAGGAAGAGCGGCTTCCAAGTTGACAACACTGGCATAAAACGTGGAAATGCAGAAATGCTGGGTTACTTGTTCAAAATACAAATCTCGTTACTTTACGGGTCATACCTCTACCATAACACAAAGTTATGTGCTAAGCTACATTTGTCACCTTTTTTTGAAGAACTTTCTATCCTCATTATAACGTGGCCGTTGGGTGGTGAGCGCTGGCACGAACAAACTTTTACATTTTAATGGGATTCATGAAGGGAAAGGAAGGCTCCCGAGGGAGGGGCAGGCGGAGACCGGGTGCTGGGGGGCGACCAGGGTGCGTCTGGGTGGGCATCTCAGGCCCAGTGCTCATTACACTCCGGGAGCAAACACAAACGAGGGCTGTCAGCTCCCATTAGCGTCCTCTGACGCGCGCCACAGAGCCATATGGACGGTGTGCAGTCAGGAGGAATCAGGGCTTTGCATGGGTGAACTTTCCATGAAACAAATCACCCATGGAAATAACTTATCTTCTTTTGGGTGCAGTATTCCGTGCGTGCGGCTGTGGGGAAGCAGCTTCCTGAGGGCTACTTGTTAGTTTCGCAGAAAAAGGCCGTGGGCGGGTTGTGTGTCAAATGAACTCAAAGTGTCCCCATGGTTCGAGGAAAAGCAAAATGCTGAGCCCTGGGCTACTGATGTGCTGCGCCACTAAGCAGGAAAAAAAAAAAATCTATTTTCTCAGAAGACACATTTAATGAGGCAACTAGGGTCTAAGGTGATAAATTAGAAATTCAACTAAGGCCATCAGGCTTAAAGGAAAAAGCAGAAGCTTGATGAAAAATGCAAGGGGCACGAGAGATGACTCTGTGAAGCGTTCATCGTCTTACTGACAAACCCGGGCCTGCTGATCATTTCAGCGCTGAGCGCTGGTGTCGCGCGTCCCTCGTCCGGGGACCTGCTGCGTTTGCGCCGGGAGGAGCCCGCGGAGCGCTCACCTTGCCGTCTTCCGTGTACACGTTCTCGCTGTACCCCTTTACTATGGTTCGGTCGATGAACAAGCTCCGCATGACGACGATCACCTTCAACACCTTCCCCAAGGTCACCTGTGAAAACACATGCAGGAAACGTGACCGCTTACCGTGAGCACGCACACCACGCGAAGTCGCGCGAGACCAGGAGAAGGCTGCGGCAGGGGACGCGCCAGGGGACGCGCCAGGGGACACGCCAGGGGACACGCCAAGGGGAGGCCGGGTGGCGCCCCGGTGCCAGCCTCCGAAAGCATCGAAGGACAAACGCCCAACAACGGAAGTTCTTCCTTCACCCCTTAAAGATGGTGCGGCCGCCAATTCATCGAACTACCCTGAATTTATAATTTTGACTTATAAACTCTCAGGATGAGTTTCACACGTTTGATTTTTCTGTCTTCAGGTTATCTTCTTCGGAGGCTGACCTATGATTCTGGCATTGTAGCAGAGAATGAGCACATGTCTTCATATGACGTCATGGCCCTATGTGCACCCCTGACCATGGAGAGAGTTCAACAGAGAGATCGAAGGCAGGCACCAAGGACCCCTGGCGGAACTATCTATTTCTAATAGCTGGGAAGAGGTGCGGAACCAATACCAAAGAAATTCTGCAGGTAAATGGACAGTAGCTGGATTTTATCTCCAAAAAGGAACATGATCCTGGAAATATATTTAAGTGCTTTTATTCCTTTAGAACTTTAAGTACATATTATGGATTAAAAAAAAACAAAACACCCCACCTAGAAAAGTGCAGTTTCACACATGCCAGGGAAAAAGTAACCTGCTGTGCTTGCTGAAACAGGCTCAGCACCAAGAATAGAAGCAGCACCTTCCTGTCTTCTGGGGGCACAGGTGGTCCTGCCCACACTTTGCGGAGCATCCTCTCTTCATCGCCTAGATGAGACCCTAGAGGGAGACGTGGCACAGGACCATCCAGGCCCAGGGTCCGCTGTTCCGATGAAGCTCTGACACCACAGAGGTAGCTGAAAAGGAGCCCTGGTCTGCGTAAGACCAGAGCCTCCGCCCCCAACAGCAGTGTGTTTCTGGGGATGCCACCTCAACCGCCCTTTCCTTATGTCCCCAATTCCTTGCGGTTTTTCAATTGATTGTTCACAATAACCACCTTCCTCTTTCATTGATTAGTCTCAGTTATCAGCGAACATTCCTTCAATTACTTCTAGGTCTGAGTTGATGTCTCTATTTATATGCCTAAAATGGTACAGAATATAAACGGGGCAAGAAAAAGATAGGATACACTTATTTACATTTAATAGATTATTAATAAAAACATGTACGGTCCCTTAAAATATTGCTATGTCATGTGACATTTAAAGGGCTGTTTCTTACATAACTGGGAATCGCCATTTCAGGATGCCAATAAACCAAGGTAGGAACAGAACTGTCTCCACGTTACATGCAGTTTATTGGGAGGAAGTGAGGGAAAGAGGGAGGGAGGGAGGGAAAGGAATCGAGTGATAATTTTGTAATTACAAGCACTGAAATTAATAGCCTCTCAGGAGGCTCCAAAGGGCCACTGTTTTCAACCGCACATTTTAACTGTCTGCTAATAATAAGCACAGATAACTAAGCAATTGTGTCCTTAAAAAAAAACGAAGTCTAGCTGACTTGAATGAACTGATAAATTGCCTTAGTGATTTCTCAAGTTTCTTAAGATGGAATTCAGAAAAAGACACACTAAAGATACTAGAAATTTTATATTTAATTTTGTTTTTTAAAAGTGAATTTTGGTATTCTAAAGTTAACTAATACTAAAAAGTATTAGTAATAATAATGCTTATTATTAGATGGAAAAATCTAAAATTAGAGAAAAAAGGAAGAAAATAATTGTTCAAAGTCATCCAAAGATAATCACCATTAACATGTTGGGGTACTTCCTCTCACTCTTTTGACTAACTAACAAAGATTTATGGTTTTTTAATTTCTAGCATGTTTATAATTGAAGCTACATATAATTTCAAATCAAAATTTTATTTAAAATTATAAATAAGCATTGTTCCATATTGCTTTGCAGTCTTCAAAGCCAGCATTCCAGGCCGGTCAAGTGGTGTGTTGGTTAAGAGCTGGTTTGGGACGCCAGAGGGCCCCGGTTCGGATCCCACATATGAGGGCCAGTGACACTGCCCTCTACAGCTAAGATGCTGAACAACAGCTCAACCTGGAGCTGGGCTGCGGTGAGTCACCGGCAACGGGGTAGGCTGCAGCCCCTGCTGCAGTCAGTTGCCATGGGCTACCGTGTGTAGCCGGCAGCCAGCGTGAGCGGCCAGCAGCCGCAGTGAGCGGCTGTCCAGAAGCCGGCGACTGATCTGCCTCGCCCGGGAAGAGCGCAATGATGGTGCCAACTTGGGCCAGTGAAGCAACGTCTTCCACAACTAGACTGAAGAACCAAAGTATAGCAACTTGTCTGTTCCCCTTCCCCCAATTCCCCAATAAAAAAATCTTTAAAAAAACAAACAAACAAACAAAAAAACACCAGCATTCCATGCTGCATGTCAGCGGACATACTATAATTTCTCCTACTTGTTGGACACTAGTTGCTTCCATGTTTTCTCTCGGATAAATACGGCTGCTATTGTTCACAAAGCTTTTGTTCACAAAGCTTTCACTACATTTGGGATTCTTTCTTGATAGATTTGTAGAGCTGTAATTACTGGGGCAAACAGTACAAATATCTTAAGGTTTTTGATACAGTCTGTCCAAGTGCTCACCACAGGGCTATGCCAACCAGAAAGGTACGGACAAACGCACCTATTTCATTTCCCTCCTGCCAGCAATAGGTGACATTAAATAAAAGTAAGAGAAAATAAAACCCAGCCCTTTCGGAAGTACCAACTTAATTTATTTCTTGAAGTCTTTTTAGTATGGAAGATTTAAAAACACATACAAAAATAAATGAATATATAGTCATGGGACGTAGAGTATAGTGTGGGAGTGGAGTCAAGGGATTTGTAATAGAGATGTATGATATTGGGGGGAAATGGGGTGGTGGATTGGGGGAGGGGGGTTGTCACTTCGAGGGGTAAAAAGCATAACTAGTGCACTGTGTTATACAGCTGAAACTAATTCTAAAAAATGTGTATTTCATAATAAAAAATAATTTAATAAAATAAATAAATAAATGAAATAGTATAAAGACCCCCCATGGGCCCATCCCAACTTGAACAGTTACAACTCTTGGCAAATCTTGCTTCACCCCCACCCACTTTTCCCTTCCTGTATTACTTTGAAACCAATAACAGCCATGATATGACATCATGTGTAAGTACTTCAGCCTATATGTCAAAAAGATAAGGGCTCTGAAAACAAAAAAGCACAGCAACCATGATGACAACCTATACCTAATAAACCAGAAATTCTCCAATATTATCAAAGCTACAGCCCAGTCAGTGTTCAAATTTCCAACAGCTTCATAAATACCACATTTTAAAGTTGACCTGAGCACGGCACACACACTCAACCTGATTGGCTGACTTGTCTCATAAGTCTTTCCTAAACGAAAGGTCTCCCTGCCTCTAGCCCTTCCCCCCATTTGACTGGTTGACACAACTGGGTCTTTTTTTTCCCTAGAGTTTTCCGGGCAGGATTTTGCTGATGGCCTCTGCATGTTCTTCCCTACTCTGTACTTTCTGTAAACGTAATTAGATGGGATTCAGGCTTGATTTTTTTTTTTTCACGAGCGGTGTGAGGGTTTACCAACAGGAGGCACGTGAGGTGGGGCATCTCTGTGTGATGCTGGCCCTGTTGACACATTAATGCACCAGGGTTACAGGCCGTCACTTTCCAATGCGTTCATTCAGTCTTCTTTTACTAGCAGTAATGCTTTTAGAGAGAAAAACTCCCCCTTATCTACTATCTGGTTACCCAGTGGTAGACTTTATTAGATAGGAAAGGTGGGATAAATGCTCAATTCTTTTTCTTTACCAGTTTTCAAAACAATGTATTGGATCACTAGTTCTCTTCCAATGTAGATGGGATTACTTTTTCACCCCCTAACATTATTATGAACGCATGGATGTAAACATACTTGATGTGTTTCTGTCTGATGCAATTATTTTCTTACTGATGCTCACGTTGTCCTGTCTGTGGCTGACAGCCTCTCCCTAACGGGGAGCCTTTTCATCGTAATCCTAGTCTCTTTGCTGGCTTCCTTGCTGTCTTACACCATCCCTGTCTGAGGTCATCTTGTCAAGCAGCCCTGGGTATTTTCAGTGGGAAATGGTATTTTAAGACCACCACCAGGGCAAGAAGGGCAAGTAATTTTTGATAGGTTATAAATTTTTATTTTATGAATCTGAATTAGGGTGAATGTTTTCCTTTCCATTTTTTTCTTTTCATACACGTACCCCCCACTTCCCCAATGGCTTGCACCTGTACTGGACTGTTATAGTTTATGGGCAGTCAGTGTTGCGAAGTCTCGCTCTGGTTTACTATCTTTTAAATCCATGAAGTTCTACAAAATCTGTCCATTCTTATTTTTTTACAGAGCCAGAAAGGACCCTGGTGTTCATGTAGGTTGAATATGCACATAATTATGCCTTTTTAAATTTTTAACGTGGTCAATAATGCAACTATATACTCAAATTTGAAGCCTAACATTTTGAGGCTTGGGCATCAGGTCTCGGCTCTGCTACTGGACAGATCGGCCCAGTTACCGCGGTTACCGCCCCACCTTCTCTGAACATCACCTCCCTCCCGTCTAATGGAGAGGATGACAGCCCCATCTCAGCACGCTAGGAGGCATCCGTGAGACCATGCACTGATAAAAGGTGAGGGATTGGGCCCCGCACAGAATAAGTATGTTCCCTGTGGCAACTCTGCCCAAACCCTTGTCAGGACTTCAGAGTGAGATGACTTGAAGCCAGTTAACATCAAAGCTGGAACGGGCACTGCCTCCGACACAGGGAGCTTGCCACTTATGTTAATTTACTTTTCTGCTGTCACACCTGGGGCTACAGCAAAGCTGCAGAGAGTGGCTGACAGTTGCGCTGGGCCCTGAGGTAGGAACAAAAATGTGCTTCCTGATGAATGACTGCTGAGCAGAAAGTTTGCAAGCCTGAAGG